TTAAATAGAACAAGTAAAAACGTCTAAGTTCGGGTGGAGCGGAACATTAAATACCCGGCGCAAGTATTAAATATAGTTTTTCACCTTTCTGAAAACTGCCGTCAAATGTGAGAGTGTAAAACAAAAAACCCAATTTAACTATACTTGGCTCATGGTTTCACGAATATATTGATTTTTGTGTGTAAAATTTACTATCGCACGATGTTATATGGAAAATGAGCTAGACATTTATAAAAAAATATTAATTATTAAATAAAACAAGTAAAAAAGTCTAAGTTCGGGTGGAGCGGAACATTAAATACCCGGCGCCGTCAAATTGTAAGAAGAGTGGTTTTATCCCTATTTCTAACAATTTCGATAGTATGTTCAGCTATACTTGATGAGATAAACTTATATAGTCAGATGTGGGCGGTATCACGCCCACTTTCCAAAACTCTATAATAATGTTACTTATTTTAAAGGGATTTTTTTAGTATCAATTGTGAGTAAATTAATAATAATAATAGATTGGCGCTTACACATATGTTAGTGTTTGGCCGAGCTTCTCCTCCGATTTGTNAGGCTCATGGTTTCACGAATATATTGACTTTTTTTGTGTGTAAAATTTACTATCGCACGATGTTATATGGAAAATGAGCTAGACATTTATAAAACAATATTAATTATTAAATAAAACAAGTAAAAAAGTCTAAGTTCGGGTGGAGCGGAACATTAAATACCCGGCGCCGTCAAATTGTAAGAAGAATGGTTTTATCCCTATTTCTAACAATTTCGATAGTATGTTCAGCTATACTTGATGAGATAAACTTATATAGTCAGATGTGGGCGGTATCACGCCCACTTTCCAAAACTCTATAATAATGTTACTTATTTTAAAGGGATTTTTTTAGTATCAATTGTGAGTAAATTAGCATCCTTAAATTTCGAAATATCGAAACTCAAAAATTTCAGAAATTTACCGTTATATGAAAAGTAGGAGTAATTTTAGTCCTATTTCAATAATTTTTAACGGTTTACTTTTATTTGGTAAGCGAAATGAGCGTACCAAGTGTGGTACAAATTAATCGAACGGTTACCGAGATATACATACCTGGTCATAAGTGGGCGGTGCCACGCCCATTTTAAAAATTTGTATCATAAATGTGTTTTTTGCTAAAGAATTATCGCAGTGCTCAATTTTGAATAATTTAGCTTCTTTATTTACTGATTTATCGAAGGTTTCGTATTTCTCTAAATTTCCGTTATATGAGATGTGGGCGTGCTTATTGCCCCATTTTAAAAACTTTCAGCCGTTTGGTATGTTGTACCAAGGGTAGCCACTGTGCCAAGTTTGGGAGAAATTGGTTTAGCGGTTACCAAAATATACACATGTAATCATAAAAGGGCGTGGCTACGTCCATTTTCCAAAAATTTATAATATTCTTATGTTTCGTCTAAAGGTTATTGCAAATATCGAATTAGAGTGAATAGTCTTCAGTAGTTACTAAAATATCGCAGTTTTCGTAATTCTGAAAACTACCGTTATATGGGAAGTGGGTGTGGTTACGGTCCGATTTCGCCCATTTTCAATACCAACCTACCTTGGGTAAAGGGCAATCTACATACGAAATTACGTTGAGATATCTCAATTTTTGCTTGAGTTATCGTGTACAAGGACTGACGGATAGACGGACGGACAGACAGATATGGCTTAATCGACTTCTTTTTACCTTCCTTTTATTAGCTCGGGATGTAACTATGTAATATTGATGCGCCTAAAAGATGCAGCGATTTCTATTCTCAAGTTACATACCTGATGACAGTGCGAATGGCAATTATAATAAGGAGGCTTTAGTTTTTTAAACTATAATTTTATTTTATTCTGATCATTTATGTATACATTTGTCTATATCTATCTCGATTCGTTTTGGCTGTTACAAACAACCGTTATGTGAACAAAGTTGTAGTACCCGTGTGCACAAGTGCCCTCGGGTATAAAAACAAATATAGCCAATACTGGTCAAGAAAAGGAGTTTATTATTACCTTCGGTGCAAATTACAAATCCCTAAAAAGCACCTAAAAAAGGCCGGAATCCCGGGATCCCGGGATTAACATCCCTAATGTGCATACATATAGTATATGTCTTAATTCTAAAATTAAATATGTATATGTACTAGAGCTCAAGCTATTCGGTTAATCGATTGACCGAATTATTCAAATGTGACTGAAGTCGACTACAGTTAATCGGATAGCACTATTCGAGTAGTCGAAGGCTGCCGGCTATTCGATTAACCGTTCACTTTAGATTATTCGGCTAACCGTTCACTTTCGATTAATTTAAGCTGGAGTTTTTTTACATTTATACGAATGTACATACCTACATAAATATATGAATAGTCTTGCTGGTGGGAATAGAATTAAATTCTATCGCATATTAAATTATTAAATCTGTGTTATCAATGCAAAAGGCTAAATTATAAGACACATTTTTTGGAAACTAACGACGGCTACATCACCTTCTAGATGCTTCTTGGCCTTGTTAGGCATACTGGTTGAATTTTCATTGTGGCAAGATTCGGCTACATGTGTGCTTATTATAAAAATTTTATTGCGAAATATTTTAGAGACACCGGCTACAACAATACTTACCTCTCATTTTCGCGATTTTTCTTTTGGATTTTTATTTAATGGTTGTTCAGAGATGGCTTGGAACATATGTAAAACGTTACTTCCTTTTCTCCCTAGGATTTTTCGAAAAAATCCTCAACCTATCTCCTTTTGCTCTTTGTATTTGAATATATGTATGTATGTATGTGTCAAAAATTAAATACCAACATAGTTGTTACTCTTATCTTTACTTACGAATATCCGTTACTTAAAGAGAGAGGAATGCTAAATTTATAACTCTTATTACTTTTTTATAACGATTAGAATATAGTACGAAACTGACCACCGAGACTGCGGAAGCGGTGTATCGGTCTACGTGCAAGGCCCAAGTCACAAAATTGTGCAACAGCGTGAGCGAGTATTTAAGACCTTTTAAAACTGCTAAGTTAGCAGACCATAGCGATCTATCAAGAGTCGAATCCGAGCTGATTATTTTATTAGAGAGGCTCAAAAATGCGCATTCAAACCTAAAAGCCGCAGACGAAGCTATGAAAGGCTCCATCAAGCAAGACGATTTTGCAAAAGAATGCGATACCATAATTGAGTATGATGATAAGGCGGTAACCACTTTAGCTCAATTGGAGCATTTTATTCGAGTTAATTTCAACAGGCGTGCAGAAGCAGCAAATAACTCCTATGAGGGCGCAGCGCAGGTTGGAGCGACAGAGGGAAGTAGTGGCTATAGTGGTATAAAGCTTAAGGCCTTTGAATTAAAAAAGTTTGATGGAAACTTCGCAAATTGGCTTCCCTTCTGGGAGCAGTTTAACGAGCGGTGCACGAAACCCCAAAATTGTCTACTGCATCAAAATTGAATTTTTTAAACGAAGCGTTAGTTGGCAAAGCAGCCGCTTCCATAGCAGGTTTTACACCCATCGTGCTACAACGAAGCTATATCTCTTTTGCAAGAAGAATATGGAAACAATGAAAAGATCGGCGAGAAATGTGTGCAAAAATTGATGAACATTAGAACGGTACAGTCCACCACAGATGTACATGGATTACGGCAACTGTACAATGAGGTGACATCGACCATGCGATCGCTTGTAGCATTTCACATATCATCGGCCCAGTACGATATAATGGTAAAATCAATTTTGTTAAAATCCATACCAACAACTTTGCGTGTGCAATTTTACCGTTCATGGGAAAGTAATGCAGTCTGTAGCACAATGTTAAATTCCAGCGTCGATGCGGCTAATGAGAGCACTAGGAGTAATGGAACAGAAAATGACCAGCTGAATAAACTTCTGAAATTTTTAAAGGTGGAAATAGAGGCCTTAGAAAAAGCGCAAATGTCTGAGCGGGACAAAAAAGTTAATGTAAAGGAAAGAAGAGAAACGCGATATCGAGATGGAGGTACTGTAGCGGGACTTTTCGTAGGCAACAGCCAGCAATATCAATGTGTTCTTTGCAAAAAATACGCATGCCACGAAGAGCTGAAAGAGCGATTTGCCAATCGAAGAGAAGAAGCTCATACTGAGAAGGCAGGTGTTTTCGATGTGCAAACAGAAATCATAATTCAAAATATTGTAAGGCGCAATGGGTAAAATGCGACATATGTAGCGGTAGACATATATCAGCAATGTGCGAGCGTCAAGCAAGTGACAAAGAGCGAAATGCAAAACAACCAAAAAGCGAACGCAACGAGTCTACAAGAGAAACAAATGCAGCGGGCGCAACAACACTAAATGTAATTGAATCAAAAGCGGCTGATGTTTTTCTCCAAACAGCAAAAGCAATAATTAGCGAAGTGAATAGCGGGCATAGCGTAATCTCTAGAATTATTATGGATAATGGGAGTCAGAGAACTTATATAAGCGAAAAATTATCGGAGGAGCTTAAGCTTCCCAACTGTGGCTTTGAGAACATTCAAATTATTGCATTTGGTAACAAAAAAGCAAAAAAAGCAACTCAGTTGAAAAGCGTAGAACTTTCATTACGAAGCCGTTATAATGATAAAGTGGAAAAAATAAAAGCGATAGTTGTACCTACTATCTGTGCTAATATTTTGCCAGTACCCAAATTTATAAATAAGCAGTTTAGAAACATCCAAATAGAGTTAGCAGATTGTGAAATAGGCAAGGAGAAATTAGTTGACGGCATTAATGTTTTGATTGGGCAAGACTATTACTGGAGGTTTAACTACGGAGAATTTGAACGACTACAAGACAATTTAGTTGCCATAAAAACATTCTTTGGGTGGACTATTCAAGGCAGTTCTGGTAACAAATGTAATACAGTGGCGTGCAATTTGGTAGTGATTGATTGATTTGATATTGAAAAGTTTTGGAGTTTAGAGTCGATTGGCATCCAGAGCTGTCCACAACGGCAAAGCAGTACTGTTGAAGAAACAATGGTTAATATTAGTAAGGTGAATAGTCGCTATGTAGTGTGTTTGCCGTGGAAAAATTTAAGCGAAAAATTGAATAGCAATATAGAAATTGCAGAGCGGAGATTGTACAGTTTGACGAATAAATTGTTTAAGGACAACAATAAACTTATTGAATATGATATAGCGATTAGAGAATTGGTGCAGAACGGCATAGAGGAACAAGTAAACGACGCAAAGGGCGAAAAAACGTACTATATGCCCTACAAACCAGTTTATCGCGACGATAAAGTCACTACAAAAACGCGAATAGTTTTTGACGCATCCTCTAGCGAGCCAGAGGGCTTATCCTTAAACGAACACTTGAATTCGGGCGACAATCTCGTAGCAGACTTGCTGAAAACTCTTTTAAGATTCCGTTTAAACAAGATAGCGATGACTGCAGACATTGAAAAGGCATTTCTTCAGATTGAGGTTGCGGCAAATGATCGAGACGCACTCCGATTTTTATGGTACGAGCGTACCCCTACGTCTAAATTTCGACGGCCAAAAATCGTCGAATACCGTATGACCAGGGTAACGTTTGGTGTGACGTCCAGTCCATTTTTGCTGGCTGCGACACTCCGCCATCATTTAAACACTTCTCAGCAAGAGTATGGAGAGTATGGATAGATTAAAACAATATTTTTATGTTGACGACTTGGTATTAAGCGAGAGAAGTTTAGAAGAAGCCAAATCAATGTATTTAAAATCAAAAGAGATTATGGCTAATGCAAAATTTAATCTTCGAAAATGGAAAACTAATGATCATGAGCTTAGCAAATTTTTTCAGGCGTATGACAACGAACAAGCGATTAGCCAAAAAGTACTTGGCATCAATTGGACTACAATAAGCGATGAGATAAGCGTTGATATTGAGAGCATTAGCGAGTATTTAGGGAAATTGAGACCAACAAAAAGAAATGTCATGAAAGCTATGGCAAAGATATATGACTCTTTGGGAATGCTACGCCCGTTTACTGTCCGAATAAAGCTCATTCTTCAAAACATTTGGAAACAGAATTTGAAATGGGACGAAGCTCTATGTGGTGATAACATGAACGATTTTCAACACTGGCAAGAAGAAATAGAATCTCTCCATAACTTTAACATGAAGCGATGCTTAGCAGCAGAAAGTGATTCTAAGTACGAAGTTCATATATTTGCCGACGCCAGTCCGAAAGCGTATGGTGCTGTTGCTTACGTGCGTCAACTAGCAGCAAGCGGTATCATTAAGAATAGAGTAAGCCCAATGGAGAAAACTAAAAAACAGAGCGAATTGGCATTACCGAAGTTAGAATTAACAGCAGCGTTAACAGCAGCGAGACTAAAATGATTTTTAGTAGATGCACTCAACTTCGAAGTGCACAGCGTTACTTTATGGACCGATTCAGCAATAGCGCTCAACTGGATTAATGGGCAAGGAAAACAAATACCCTATGTTAAAGCAAGGGTTAGTGAGATTAATAACCTAACGAACATTTATGATTGGAAGCATTGTCGAGGCAGTAACAATGCAGCGGACCTCCTTACTAGAAATATAAAATCAAAGGCGTTAGTGGACTCAGATCTATGGAATTTCGGCCCTGAATGGTTAGCTGAAGATGAGTTGAATTGGCCATCGGAATACATTTTAGAAAAATCAATGAGTCTACTATCCGAGTGTACATACGCCAATAACGAAAGAACTAGCGAAGCTGTTATAACACTGGAAAATTACAGTGGGTTGAAGCGGCTTTTGTGAGTTACTGCGTTTGTTTTCCGAATCGTTGAAAATCTTAAACTTAGCGTGATAAATAAAAGAGAGCATTAAACAAAATCTTCCAGCGTCAGAGCCGAAATAACAGCGCATGAGTTGAGCAAAGCAGAATCGTATTGGGTCAAGTATGTGCAACGAGACCATTATAAAAAAGAAGTGGTTGCCTTAGAAAACCAGCGTGCAATTCCGGCGGATTAAAAAATTTTATCGTTGAATCCAGTTCTAGTCGATGGAATATTGAGACTCACTAGCAGGCTACCACCGGAAGTATATGGTAATCATAACCCAATAATATTACCAAAGCGTTCACATTTAAGTAGTTTGCTTGTTTGGGAAGCGCATAAACAAACAATGCATGGAGGCGTAAATACAGTTTTAGCTCACAGACATTTTCGCTGGTACAAGCGTGCCCGCTTATAAAATCTTGTCTACATAAATGTGTTATCTGTAAACGGCTACGTGGGAAAAGTGCGACCGAGAAGTGGACAGTATTGCCACGCGAACGAGTAGAAACAAGCAGACCATTTGAAACTATTGGAGTTGACTTTGCTGGACCGCTATATGTTAAAGCAGAGATTGAAGGCGATAGGCGAAAAGTTTACATCATGTTAATATCGTGTGCTGCATTTAGAGCAGTTCATTTGGAGCTGGTTGGAGACATGACAACTAACAGCTGTATAAATGCATTACGGCGGTTTATTGCGAGACGCGGTGCACCAGCAACAATAATGTCGGATAATGCTAAGACATTTAAGCGAACGGATATTGAGTTAAAAAAACAATGATCTTTTTAACAATAGTGAAGTACAGCGGTTAGCAGCGCATGAAAACATAAACTGGGCGGTTTTTGGGAACGCCTGGTAAAAATCGTTAAAGATTGTCTGAAGCAATAGGAAAAGCGAATTTGACCGAAGACGAATTGGCAACGCTACTAACTGAAGTTGAATGTGTGGTCAATGCAAGACCATTGACTTACATAAGCAGCGATCATAACGATTTGGAGCCTTTAACTCCAGCACATTTTTTAACTAACTTTACACCTCTTTTACTTCAAACAGATTTCAAAAGCGATAGTTCCTCCTTGACAAAGACGTGACAACAAGCTATAATAAGGCGGTATATGAAGAGATGGTGTACAGAATATCTAAGCGCACTCCGTACCATACACCAAAATAGAGGCGGTCCAACCCGTAGCTACACGATGACAATAAACCTCGGCTGCAATGGAAACTAGCGGTTGTGCAGCAAGCATATCAAGGAAGAGATGGCCGCGTTAGGGCTTGCGATATCCGGCTACATGGTCAAAACGTTTTGAAGCGCCCAATTCAGTTACTATACCCACTTGAAATAGCGTCTTCTTTGTTCGGGGCGGAGGATGTCAAAAATTAAATACCAACATAGTTGTTACTCTTATCTTTACTTAAGAATATCCGTTACTTAAAGAGAGAGGAAAGCTAAATTTATAACTTGTATTACTCTTTTATAACGATTAGAATATAGTACGAAACTGACCGCCGAGACTGTTTGAGCTCGGGAAGGAAAAAAGCGTGTTTTATTAAATATTTTTTCACAGTATGTACATAAATATAAGTATGTACTCAAGGCACATAAATACAGGTAGAAGGCACATTAAACAGTTAGTATCAGCAGAGCAGCTGATTTGATTTTTTATTTTTTTCAAATTATTTGGCCTCGAAAATGTCAAATATTCCTAATTTATTCTCACAAAAATTCTAAATTGTTAAAATCTATTTGCATGTGAAACCTTTTTCCATACAAAACAAGTGATTGAATAGCAGCTTTTGGAACGCTCGCCCAAGTCAGCAGCACAACCGCAGGTTACTGGGCCTTGCAAAGGATGGATAAATGCTTCAAAAAGCAAACAAATTTACTAAGAAAGAAATTTGCAACAACTTTAATTTCTTCCAATTTAAATTTTTTATTTTTTATTTTTTTTTTTTTTGTATTTGACATGGCATGCTTTGATTTAGAAGAAAAAAATCAGAACGGGTTTTGGCACTTACGATACCAGAAGCAACAACAAAACACACGCAAATGTTGTTTCTGCTCTAATAGGCGGCATACACCGTGCGCCTGACTCGTAAGTCAGTTTGAATGCGTTTGTGAAAATAAATATGTGTTAGTTACACTGACATGACTTCTGGGATGACTCTGAATGATTCCACTGTGTGTAGTCGAAGGGGAGTCAACAAGTACACAAATGACTCGCGAGTCAGACGCACTGTGTATGTCGCCTATAATGCTATTTACTACCTGTTTGATATGCCTTGCTGTTTTTAACGTATCTTGTTGTGTACTTACGTATATTTTATATATTTTTTTCATTTGTAAAAAAAAACATTCAATGAAACTTCGCTTACTGCAATTCGATTTGCTACAATACTCGAGCAGTCGACCCACAGCAACTATTCGAATAGTCGAAAGTCGGTTTGTGAATAGTCGAAAGCGGCTATTCGAATACCATTAACCGATTAATAAGTACACTCAGAAAAAGGTTTAGTTATAATTACCAAGATTTGGTTATAGTGACCAAGTGGCATAGTTGGATACGGCGAAATAAATATCTAGTTCACGAAAGTCTGCAATTTACTTGAGACTTCTAGTTGGGACAAATGAATATTTGTTAATAATTACAAAACGACTACCTTGAGTGGACAATATTGTTAGCTGAATAAAATCATTGTTGAGCAAATATAAACAATGCTTTGGTTGATACACGTTTTCAATTAATTTTGTGAACTTGCTGTAGACTTGAATCAGCTAACCGTTTATTATTGGAAAAAAAGTTTCAGTTTGACACAAATAAAAATTTACTCGATGGTTGTTGTGTTTACTTTCTTCTTTTATTTGCATATATTAAGCATAAAAAATACAAAGCCATTTACATAAATAGTTACTAGTGTAAATAATACATATATATATGGTCGTAAGAATTTCCTAAAAAGAAACGAAGAAACAGGAACAGTCGTGCGAAAACCCAGGTCAATATCTGCTGGAAGTGCTGGTTTAAGTATACTGCTTTGCTGTTTCCTTGGCTAAATAGATACTTTCAAACTATAATTCCCATGAATTATATATCCAATGAGAAACCCCGGTTGGCATCAAACTTTATATTTTTAAATAACTATGCGCACACCTAAATAACTCGCGGCGATGGCAAAACCACAGTATACCAGTAGAAAAGGTTTTTGTTTTTGTAGCTCTTTCGTGGTGAAAGTCCTTTATGGCTACCAAATTTCCCCACGAGAAATTGAGCGCATGGTTGCTTTTGCATGCCAAAAGAATTAATATTAGAAAACATTGAAAAAAAGTCTGAGATAATACAATTACATTCTACTAAAAATAAACACAGTAATGTGCGCTAATTAGATAATGCGATAATCATGTTTGGAAACTCTTTTCAACTCTTATTTTTGCAAAATAATATTGCGGATCAGATTGCTCTGAGCGCTTGTGTTGTTTACCAAGAAAATGCAGCCCTGTTGGTTTTTATTTCTGTATCGCATCGCGGTGAGTTTCTATTTCTTGGTAATTCGGTTTGTGAAATGGTAAACAAATTATTACAATTTATTTATTTGATGTGTTTAACATTTGACTAATGCAATTTTCTGTCTTTTCAGACTATTAATTACAAGCACAGCATCATCAACGGTGATTACAAGAACTACTGCAATCTCTGCGGTTTTTCCTCTTGGTAAATGCGTTCTGGTCGTGACCAAGGGTGGTCTTCCAAATCAGCCGGGAATAAGGTTAGTCATTTTCAATTTTATATCTTTGTTCGTCGACATTATAGGACATGTCATCATTGCAGGCTATTATATCACGTGTGAATTCAACTGCGGCTAAATTTGGT